CCCCAAAACCCCAAAACCCCAAAACCCCAAAACCCCAAAACCCCAAAACCCCAAAACCCCTATCCTTGTTCAAAGAGTTGGTAACTTAAAAATTTAAAATTTAGCTGTTTCTAGAATCCCCAAAATGGAGGTACTTGTAGAAATCTGAATTACTATCCTTCTTTACCTCTCTAAATTGTCTCATCCCTCCACTTTGTTCTCTCACACCCACTCCTCATGACTAATATACTCTTTCTTATTGTGAAACTTCATAATCTACTAAAATCCCTCCTAAATTTTCAAATTTTTTAGTCAAAATAGCATATTTCCCAGCCAAATGGAACTAATTACCCAAATATCCTACCCACAAAAAGAAAACATGGAATTGGTGTTAATTTTCTTAGTGATAAACACTGCCTAAAGGCTTATCAACTTAAGAGGAGGTGTACTTGGTGACAGCCTTGGTTCCCTCAGAGACGGCATGCTTGGCGAGTTCTCCTGGGAGTAAGAGTCTGACGGCGGTCTGGACCTCTCTGGATGAGAGAGTGTGCTTCTTGTTGTATCTGACAAGCTTGGAAGCTTCCAAAGCGATCTTCTCAAAGATGTCGTTAATGAAGGAGTTCATGATGCTCATGGACTTCTTGGAGACTCCAGTTTCTGGGTGGACCTGCTTGAGGACTCTGTAGATGTAGACAGAGAAGGTCTCAGTTCTCTTCTTGTGGTGTCTCTTTTCTTGCTGAACTCTCTTGGCTCTCTTGGCTGGGGTAGCTGGCATATTTAAATTATTTTTATTAATTATTAATAAACTTTTCTCTTATATACATTCATGATTCTTCTAAAAGTGAGTACCCTAAAAATCCTGAAATTTTATTGGCTTATCATCCAAGATTTTGGATTCAAAAATAGAGATATGGATTTTTGGATTATCTCAAATTTGAGCCCTTTTGGAGACCTGTCAGATCTCTAGAAGCATCAAGGGAAAGAGAAATCAAAAATCTCCTATCTGGCAAAACATAAAAAACAAAGCTCATGAGATGCTTCATAAATCTGCAAATTTATTTTCCAAAAATCTCATGTCTTTTTCAGAGAATATTGTAAATTAATTTTATTCATGGATTTTCAAGGAATATGGCCTTTGATTTGGCGGCTAAATTAGTATATTCCTAATATTGCCCTTGTTTACTTGAAATACAGTAAATTTCATCTCAGAAGCAACCTAACAAAAATAATGCTTGAATTTTTGGATTCTCGACTAACTAAAGTGGAAGAGACACTTTTTGCTGACTTCTTGTGGTATTGAAGTATATTAGATGTAGCACACTTCTCTTATTCTTTATTTCTCCCTTCAAGAAATCAGAATGGTCATATGAATTTATTCATTTGAAAGTCTCTACTAAATTTCTCCTTGATTTCTGCTATGGAATTATGAGCTTTAGTGGTTGAAAGAAGCATCAACTCTTATAAACTTTGGCAGGTAGATAGTCAGTAGCCCTTATCTTTGGTAGCTGAAAAGTAATGTGACTAGATAGTATTAACTTGGCCAAACAAAAACTTCAAGACTATATAAAAATTAAAATCACTTGAATCAGTAATTCTGATTTTGATTGGGGTTTTGGGGTTTTGGGGTTTTGGGGTTTTGGGGTTTTGGGG